AGCTTTATTACAACTGTCACATAAACTTAACATAAACTAAGAAAACTAAACATTGATCAATGAACCATGAAAATGAGGTCAAGGTCAGATGAACCGTGCCAGGTAGACATGTACAGTTAACAATTCTTCCATATAACAAATATAGTTGACCTATTGCTTATAGTTTAAGAAAAACAGACCAAAACACAAAAACTTAACACTGAGCAATGAACCGTGATAATGAGGTCAAGGTCATATAAAACCTGTGTGACTGACATATAGATCATAAAATATTTCTATACACCAAATATAGTTGACCTATGGCATATAGTATTAGAAAAAAAGACCAAAACTCAAAAACTTAACTTTGACCACTGAACCATGAAAACGAGGTCAAGGTCAGATGACACCTGCCAGCTAGACATGTACACCTTACGATCGTTCCATACACCAAATATAGTAGACCTATTGCATACAGTATAAGAAAAACAGACCAAAACACAAAAACTTAACTATAACCACTGAACCATGAAAATGAGGTCAAGGTCAGATGACACCTGCCAGTTGGACATGTACACCTTACAGTCCTTCCATACACCGAATATACTAGACCTATTGCTTATAGTATCTGAGATATGGACTTGACCACCAAAACTTAACCTTGTTCACTGATCCATGAAATGAGGTCGAGGTCAAGTGAAAACTGTCTGACAGGCATGAGGACCTTCCAAGGTACGCACATACCAAATATAGTTATCCTACTACTTATAATAAGAGAGAATTTAACATTACAAAAAATGTTAACTTTTTGTTCAAGTAGTCACTGAACCATGAAAATGAGGTCAAGGACATTGGACATGTGACTGACGGAAACTTCGTAACATGAGGAATCCATATACAAAGTATGAAGCATCCAGGTCTTCCACCTTCTAAAATATAAAGCTTTTAAGAAGTTAGCTAAAGCCGCCGCCGCCGCCGGATCACTATCCCTATGTCGAGCTTTCTGCGACAAAAGTCGCAGGCTCGACAAAAACTTAACACTGAGCAATGAACAGTGAAAATGAGGTCAAGGTCATATAAAACCTGCGCGACTGACATATAGATCATAAAATATTTCCATACACCAAATATAGTTGACCTATTGCATATAGTATTAGAAAAAAGACCAAAACTCAAAAACTTAACTTTAACCACTGAACCATGAAAACGAGGTCAAGGTCAGATGACACCTGCCAGCTAGACATGTACACTTTACAATCATTCCATACACCAAATATAGTAGACCTATTGCATACAGTATAAGAAAAACAGACCAAAACACAAAAACTTTACTATAACCACTGAACCATGAAAATGAGGTCAAGGTCAGATGACACCTGCCAGTTTGACATGTACACCTTACAGTCCTTCCATACACCGAATATACTAGACCTATTGCTTATAGTATCTGAGATATGGACTTGACCACCAAAACTTAACCTTGTTCACTGATCCATGAAATGAGGTCGAGGTCAAGTGAAAACTGTCTGACGGGCATGAGGACCTTCCAAGGTATGCACATACCAAATATAGTTATCCTACTACTTATAATAAGAGAGAATTTAACATTACAAAAAATGTTAACTTTTTTTTCAAGTAGTCACTGAACCATGAAAATGAGGTCAAGGACATTGGACATGTGACTGACAGAAACTTCGTAACATGAGGCATCCATATACAAAGTATGAAGCATCCAGGTCTTCTACCTTCTAAAATATAAAGCTTTTAAGAAGTTAACTAACGCCGCCGCCGCCGGCTCGACAAAAATGGAGAGAACACTGATAAATTTTTGCCTTGGGCGACCTTCAAAATGAAAGAACCTTAGTGAGCGCGCTCACATACCCCACGTCCCCACATTGTCATTGGAGAAATAAAATAAGTGTAAGAAAAAAAAATTGTATCAGAAAAAAAAATTGAATCATAATTTCCTGTCAATATGCACATCTACATAGTATGTCCTTATTATCTACACAGTTTCATGAAATTCTGTTGTGTGGTTTGAGAGGAGTTGCAATGACAAAAGGTTGCAGTAGTATATTGGGCAAATAAGTTCAAAGGGGCGTAACTCCTGGGAAAAAAATTGAATCGTAATTTCCTGTCAATATGCACATCTACGTAGTATGTCCTTATTATCTGAAAAGGTTTCATGAAATTCTGTTGTGTGGTTTGAGAGGAGTTGCGATGACAAAAGGTTGCAGTAGTATATTGGGCAAATAAGTTCAAAGGGGCATAACTCCTGGAAAAAAAATTGAATCGTAATTTCCTGTCGATATGCACATCTACGTAGTATGTCCTTATTATCTGGTATGGTTTCATGAAATTCTGTTGTGTGGTTTGAGAGGAGTTGCGATGACAAACTGTTGCAGTAGTACATTAAAGTAAATAAGTTCAAAGGGGCGTAACTCCTAGAAAAAAAATTGAATCGTAATTTCCTGTCGATATGCACAACTACATAGTATGTCCTTATCTAAAAAGGTTTCGTGAAATTCTGTTGTGTGGTTTGAGAGGAGTTGCGATGACAAGAAATAGGACTGACGGACTGACGGACAGACGGACGGACGGGTCAAAAACATTATACCCTCCGCAACTTGTTGCGTGGGGTATAAAAATAAATAATATATATGTCCTATATTTATTTTAAAATAATGAAAAACTGCAGAGGCACCCAGAACTACTATGTGCATCAAGAAATCTTTCAGGTTTGAGGCAGCACGAGTGTGGAATTCCCTTTCAAATGAGGCTCGAGTCATGACCTCTTTGATCAGTTTAAATATAATACAAATAGCTTGTATGGGGGACAAAATTTAACTGCATTTCATGCAAATTTCAACCAGTTTCACAGCTGATTTGATTCTCGTTATCTGCTACATAAAAACGTTTTTGTATCTTGTATTGCTTTCCTAAAAAAATATATAAGTTGGGTTTTAATTAAGCTTTTTGTTACTGAAATTCTGCTAAGCTTTTTGTTTTCATTTATAGAACATTATTTTTTTTGCTATTTACACTAGTGCTTTTTATACGACCGCAAAAATATTGGTATCACGTCGTCGTCGTCTGAAGACATTTGGTTTCCGGACAATAACTTTAGTTTAAGTGTATGGATCTCTATGAAATTTAACCAAAAGGTTCAATATCACAAAAGGAAGGTTGGGATTGTTTTTGGGGGTGATGGTCCCAACCGTTTAGGAATTAGCGGCCAAAAAGGGGCCAAAACAAGCATTTTTCTAGTTTCAGGACAATAACTTGTGTATCAGTATTTTGATTGCTCTGAAATTGTACCACAAGGTTCAATACCACAAGTAGAAGGTTGGGATTCATTTTGGAGGTAATTGCCCAAACCGTTCAGAAATTAGGGGTCAAAAAGGGTCTAAAACAAGCATTTTTCTAGTTTTCAGACAATAACTTGTGTTTAAGTGTATGGATGTCTCTTAATTTGTACCACATTTTACAAAAAGAAAATTTCTTCAAAATTAATTTTTTTGGAAAGGGGGGGAGGGGGTAAAAAAATTTTTTGGAGGGGGGACAATTTTTTTTCCTCAAAAGAAAATTCTCTTCAAATAATATTTTTTTGGGGGGTAAAAACAAATTTTTTTTTGGGGGGATCAATTTTTTCCCTCAAGATTTAAGAAATTGTCAATTTTCCAAAGAGAAAAATTGGGGGTCACAATTTATTTCGCTAATTCTTTGTATATAGTCTGAAAACAGATTTACTAAGTATTGCACAACAGCAAGAAATCTTCAATTGAATATCAATTCAAATCATACATTTGGATTCCTGACAATAACTTTAGTTTAAGTGTATGGATCTCTATGAAATTTAAGCAAAAGGTTCAATACCACAAAAAGAAGGTTGGGATTGTTTTTGGGGGTGGTGGTCCCAACTGTTTAGGAATTAGTGGTCAAAAAGGGGCCCAAAACAAGCATTTTTCTAATTTCAGGACAATAACTTGTGTATAAGTATTTTGATTGCTCTGAAATTTTACCACAAGGTTCAATACCACAAGTAGAAGGTTGGGATTCATTTTGGGGGTAATTGCCCAAACCATTAAGGAACTAGGGGCCAAAAGGGGTCTAAAACAAGCATTTTTCTTGTTTTCAGACAATAACTTGTGTTTAAGTGTATCGATGTCTCTTAATTTGTACCACATTTTACAAAAAGAAAATTTCTTTAAAATTATTTTTTTTTAGGGGGGGCGTGGGGAAATTTTTTTCCTCAAAAGAAAATTCTCTTCAAATATTATTTTTTTTGGAGGGGGGTAAAAAAAATTTTTTAGGGGGGGGTCATTTTTTTCCCCTCAAGATTCCATGAAAAAAAATATGCTTTGTATATAGTCTGAAAACAGATTTACTTAGTATTGCGCTACAGCACAGTGTATTGCACAACAGTAAGAAATCTTCAATTGAATATAAATTCAAATCATACAACTAATTTCAAGTTCTTTGACACATTTATTCTGTGTCAGAAACCTATAATGTGTCAAATACTCAATTACAATCCAAATTCAGACCTGTATCAAGCTTGAATATTGTGTCCATTTTTGCCCCAACTGTTCAGGGTTGGACCTCTGTGGTCGTATCCAGCTGCCCTTGGCGAAGCAGTTTATTTATGTCTTGATATATATGCTATGCTGTTTATTTTGCTTTGTGTCTATGATATCATTTGTGCTCTTTAATCTTTGTTTTTATTAAGCAATTAGCAAATTTAAACTGGCATAACGGAGTTTTATATTTTATCTTTTTACAATTTATAACAAATTTATCAATTTGCAAATGATTTCAATTATCATAGCAATGTGTGTCATTTTCTGAGTAGTGTTCAGCATTTCCATTAATTCCAGTCAAAGGCAAAAGTTGACAATCACCATTGGTAAGACCCAAAAATTGCAAAGCGGTTTTACATCAGGGTGCATTCACCCTTATTGAATATCCATCAGACAACCATATAAATGGTCTCCAACATAGAACTTTTAAAAATCCATTACCTCTAAATTTTCAAAACTGTCATCATCTTCCTCATAATCTGCAAGATAGATTGTACTTATTCATTCAAAAGTTAAGTTTACAAACTAATGATTAAAACATATAATTCAATGATATAGCTATATATATATAGTGATTGCTACTTGAAATACACATAAATTCATCTTTACAAAAAAAGAAACATTTGAATCTACGAAATTCCAGTGTAACTATAAAATATAAATGTAAACGTTTTTCCGTTGTAAACAATAACGTGCATGAGGTTATCAATACAGTATTTTAAAACAAAACCATGGATAGTTAAACAGAAAAAAGTAAATCGAAGGTAAAAAACATTGTTGTTATGGCACATGAAACAGTGATTCAAGATATCATTAGCGTGAGGAGATGGAAGGCGTATTTTTCATACCACACATTTCAATTATATTGTTACAAATTATTGTCTTCTTTGTATTTATTTTCTATGCATATGAATTGTTTGAATTTATTGAAATAAGTTTTATGTCACAGTGAATTCATGACAAAGTTCTAAATAAATCAAAGTGCTGGATAGCACCTGTGGAAAGTTTGCAATGGTAGATGTGTATTATTTCAAATAGGTTGTAGATGTGTATTATTTCAAATAAGTATTTAATTGCAGCTTTGATTTTTTTTTTACTAAATCATTGTCTCATCAGCAATTATCAAAAATCAAAGTATTATCTATAGTGTTTTATTCATGCCTCCATCTGTTTTATTTGTATGCAATGTCATAGGCATAGATATATAAAAAATTATTTGCTATACATATATTTATAAAGTGATAAATAAACAAACAAACAATAACCAAAGTTATGCATGGTTTTTAAGCATTAAGAAAGTCATTTTGCTAGAAAACTTAAGACTCATTGTTTTAAACACTTTAAAATATATTAGGTAAAGCACTGTCTATATTACATGGACAAATGTTATTTAATAAGTTCTACAGCACTGGTCTTGGCACACTGGGTTATTCTAAGAAGTAGAAGCTGACTTGGCTGCTTTTAATACACTTGACTCTGTAATAAAGTAATCCTTATCCTTGTAACAGTTTGTGTAGTTGTTAATCTTAACACTTAGGAGGCTGTGAACTATCCTTGAGTCAATGTTTTTTCTGCTGTCAGTTTTGGTCCACTTGAGCATGCTGAAGATCCTTTTATCCGCATTGGAATGTGAAATAGCTAGTATTTCTTTGCTGAATTGAAAGTTTATAAATGTTTTTTGGCACCAAAACCTTCTGATCGATGTTTTGACAAAAACAATGCACTTTTCTATCAAAGCTGGTATTTACCTTTACTCATCCTTGGCGTGTGACATAGACAGAAGCAATATCGTGATATGATTATTGAGTATTTAATATCCTGTCACCTGTTTATTGTTCAATCAAACTATTATCACTTGTTAATTAGCCGCCGGCCTGGTCAAAATGTAAACATGTTGCGTAATCAATAATGTCAGTAATACCAGATATTTTCGATACACTCGGGCTTTTACGTTTTTAATAACATTTGTAAACATCGTAGTAAAAAATGGCACCGGAAAATGTTCATTCATGAAATATTTTATACACAGGATTTTTTTCTCTTCAACCGGAGGATGGGAGGAGACCCCTGAAACCGGGATAATTGTACACCTGTCAGGAGGTTCACATGTATGGATGATCTCACGCATGTCATGGGAATCCCATAGGAAAGCACACAGGTAACATAAACATACAAAATGGCTGACAGTTCAAAGTATACATAATTTATAGAGGTCAAACCTAATACCATTTACAAACGTAAAAATTGAAAAGATTACAATAAATATCAGGCCTTCTAAATTTTCTATGAATTAAACGTAGAAACTGCTGTCTCGTGTAGATTTGTATTGATTTTATCTTCCTCGCAGGGTAGATCAGCAAAGTAGTGTTTGTGATACCCATTTTCAAAATGAAGTTGAATTCATTTGAATTGTCGGTGAACATTCAGTCCATTTTTATTCAAGCTGTAAGCTTATCAAAAAAGTAGTAACTCAAAAATTTCAAAAGCACCTTCCTAGAATTAGTATTCAAACACTAGTACTACATTATCTAGGAGTAGAACAGTGGAATTAAGTTAGTCTGGCTACTCCCGGTTTGAGGCCGATGCCTTAGGAAAGTATATTGCTATAGCAAGCTATAGCAAACTTTCCAAAAATGTGCTAGGCAATAGTACTAGGCATTTCAGCGGAAAATATAAACAATGTCATATTTACGTTATGTGAGAGGGTGTACAATGAACAAGGAACAGGTGCTCAAAGTGTCACAAGCTCAAACGGGAACGTGCAGGGTTTCTTTTATTCTCAGCAGAAATTTTTTTACTGTCTTTTTTGTTTTTAGTATTGTACCATTTACCACCATCGACGCTGAATTAAATATGGTGTGCCTTTCCACTAACTGGGGCTCGTAGCTCTTATATGGTCCTTGCGATATATTTTTGGTCAATTTGCAGACCACAGACTCTATGTTCCTTAAATTGTCAAAAATATATCACAAGGATATTGAGTAACGGTTCCACAGCTACCTTAACATCGGCTAGTACATCTTTACATCTGTAATAAATGGAAGTATTTAATATGTTTCTCCAGAGACATATATACAATAAAATTGAGAATGGAAATGCGGAATGTGTCAAAGAGACAAAAACCCCACCAAAGAGCAGAATACATCCCAAGGCCACCAATGGGTCTTCAACACAGCGAGAAAATCCTGCACCCAGAAGCAGGTTCAGCTGGCCCCTAAACAAAAATGTTCAGTGAAAATGGACGTCACACTAAACTACAAAACATATAAATGAACTTAAATTAAAAAAAACCATACAAGACTAACAAAGGCCAGAGGCTCCTGACTTGGGACAGGCGCAAAATGCGGCGGGGTTAAACATGTTTTGTGAGATCTCAACCCTCCCCTTATACCTCTAGCCAATGTAGAATAAACAAACACATAGCAATACACACAGTAAAACTCAGTTTAGATAAAATGCTTCACTGAGCGCAGCTGGATTACCGCAGAGGTCCAACCCTGAACAGTTGGGGCGAAAATGGACAATACTCGCGCTTGATACAGGTCTGAATTTCGATTGTAATTAAATATTTGACACATAATAGGTTTCTGACACCGAATAACTGTAGTCAAAGAACTTAGAATTGGTTATATGATTTGAATTTATATTCAATTTTTTGCTTTTGTGCAATACACTATGCTGTTGCAAATTGACCCCCCCCCCCCCCCCAACAACAACAACAAAAAAATTTACCCCCCCCCTTTTTTTTGTACAATTTTGTTTTTGGATTACCTCCCTCACACTGCTTTTAAATTGTCCATTAACCAGGAAACCCTTGTTTTTTCCCCTTTTTTGCCCCTAATTCCTAAACGGTTTGAGCCATAACCCCCCAAAGCCAATTCTAACCATCCCTTTGTGGTATGGAAACTTGTGGTATAATTTCAGAGAGATCCTTACATTTAAACACAAGTTATTGTCTGGAAGTTACAAAAATGCTTATTTTTGGCCCCTTTCTGACCCCTAATTCCTTAACTGTTGGTACCATAACCCCAAAAATCAATCCCAACCTTCCTTTTGTGGTATTGAACCTTATGGTAAACTTTATAGAGATCCATTCACTTAAACTATAGTTATTGTGCAAAAACCAATGTGTCTTAGGACGATGACGCCAACGTCATACCAATATGCGACTGCAAAAATTTTTGAGGTCGTATAAAAAGTCAGAGTCTGATGTCAGAATAGGTAACAGAAGAAACTAAGCAAAATGACAATGATACATAAATTAAGTATATTTATATGTCTCTGGTTTCTCTAACAATAAAATGGTAGTTATTTTCCTTATATTCGTACTTTTACATTGTTTATTCTATTTAATTAAGATGAATGAATATTTTATTTTATTTTACCTATCGAGAAATTTAAGTTTTATAAACACCACACAAGTGCGTAAATGATTGTGTGTGTGTTTGTGGGTAAAAGCTAAACCATAACTGTTTTAATCTTCCAAGAGATGTATATCTTGCTTTTACCTATTTTTCCCCAGAAAATTCTTCTGGGCAACCAAAAAATATTGAAGACATTTAGTCAAAATTACTCAGAAATATAGAATACTACAGTCAATAGGGTGAAGTATTGATTCAAGGAGATTTTAATGCATATACTAGAACATCCCCAGACTTTGTGATTTCAGATGAATCTATGTATCCTCATGCTGAGGATGAAAATTATGTATATGATATATGTACACCAAGAAATAATCTTGATCATAAAAGGCCAAATAAGAGTGGCAAATTATTAATTGAGCTCTGTAAAGAAGCTGGGCTACGAGTTTTGAATGGTAGAACTATTGGTGATATACTTGGTAAATATACCTGTATAAAATATAATGGTTCTAGCGTTGTTGATCATGCAGTTGCATCTGCAAATTTATTACATGTTTATGCCATAAGTAGTTTACTGTGCATGACTTTACACCATTATCAGATCATTGTGCAATCAGCTGCACCTTGTAAACTTCTTTTTATGATAATACAAATACCCAACAAGCATATTTAGAACCACTCCCAGGTAAATTTGTATGGGATTCAGAGGCAATTAATAGTTATTCTACACTTATACAGATTATGAATTCTTAAACTAAACTGCAAGAATTTCTCAGTAGAAAATACTCAAATTGTAATAAGGCTGTAAACATTCTAAACATAATTCTTCAAGAAACAGCTTTGGCATCGGCCAAATTTAATAAAGGGCACATTAAAAAACAAACAAGTAAAACCTAAAAGAAAACCCTTGTTTTCAGGTGTATGTGAAGACTTATATAAAACTGTTAAGCACTATGCATTTCTAATAAATAAATTTCCATTTAATGGCGCTTACAGAAAAGAATACTGCTCTCAGCGCTCAAAATTGTAAACAAAAGAAAAAATATACAAAAATAAAATATGTTCAGATCTATCCCGTAATATCAATAATGACCCAAAATCCTTCTGGGACTTGCTTA